GGTGCTGGGGGATTGAACCGTGGTCCTGTGCTTTGCTAAGCTTGTTCTAAGTAGGTGCTTTAGACCACTGAGCCATCTCACCAGCCCCAAGTTGAAGCATTTCTTCACAGTCCTTCCCCTGCTTATGGATCCAGCTTCATCTTCCCTCATATGTCCCAACCCCATACTTCATCCTTCATCAGCACTGATCTTCTGAGGACCTCAGCAGACATGCATGCTTCACACCTCTGTACCTTTGCATGTGTGTCTTTGCCCCTGCAGCCACCAGCGTGCCCCTCTAGGGGTTCCATTAACATGTCCCCAAGTGTCAGCTCTTGGAGGCCTTCCCAGCCCACCCCCCAGCATGCTTTGCTTCCTTTCCTCCTGCCCCCTCTGCTTTTTTCTTTTTTTCCCCCCTCTGCTTTGTACAGACCTCCATTATGGCAGCTGCTGTGCTTTGCCAACGAGAGGTGAGCTCTTGGTGCTGGAAGGATTTCTCTTGGAGCTCTTGACACAATACCCACCAGAGTAGTTACAAGTGAATGTCCTTACTTCTGAGGGCGCCCAAGGCCCTCACTTCCACTAACTCTGTTCTGTAGATGTAAAGGAGGCCCGGGAATAGCACTGCCCAGCTTTCCTCAGCCCTCTTTCTCTGGGACCCTGCCCCTGACCTCTTCCCGCTTCTTCTCAGCTTGAGGCAGCCCTGGGCGAGGCCAAGAAGCAACTTCAGGATGAGATGCTGCGGCGGGTGGATGCTGAGAACAGGCTGCAGACCCTGAAGGAAGAACTGGATTTCCAGAAAAACATCTATAGTGAGGTAGGCACTGAGCTTTACAGGCCTTGCAGGCCGGGGACTTGGGGCTAACTAGTGACAGACACAGATCTTAGGGCTAGGACACCCACTGTGGGCAGAGCTCATCAGCCTGAGTCTCTATACTAATCGATAGATGTGGAACATGGGCAGCACCCCACTGCTGGCTTAAAGTGAGCTATGGGTTTGGGGCAGGGTGGGGAGCTTGGCCCTCTGGGTCTTACCCTGTAAGGAACTGATTTTGGTTCTGTGTCCTTGCTCTAACCCTTCTAGGAACTGCGTGAGACCAAGCGCCGCCACGAGACCCGGCTGGTGGAGATTGATAATGGCAAGCAGCGAGAGTTTGAGAGCCGGCTGGCTGACGCCCTGCAGGAGTTGCGGGCCCAGCATGAGGACCAGGTGGAGCAGTACAAGAAGGAGCTGGAGAAGACCTACTCTGCTAAGGTGCCCACTCTTCCCTAGGGCCTCCATAGCCCCTGCCCCAGCAGCCTTAGCCCTGCCTTGGGGGAGAGTTGGTGGTGGCTAGGACCTCGGGGTGGCCCTCTGCTGGCCTTCCTGGGCCCTGCTGTGCTAACTTTGTGTGTTCCCTGCAGCTGGATAATGCCAGGCAATCTGCTGAGAGGAACAGCAACCTGGTGGGGGCTGCCCATGAGGAGCTGCAGCAGTCTCGGATCCGCATCGACAGCCTGTCAGCCCAGCTCAGCCAGCTGCAGAAGCAGGTGATTCCCTGCTCACCAGGAGCCACCGGTTTGGGCTGCCTAGGGAGGAGGAAAGGGACAGAACAGGGCCCAGGACCACAGCCTGGGAGAACGGGTTGGGATTGGGGCCCATGGCCTATCTGCTGTACCAGTCCTTCCTCTTTCCAGGTCTTCTTAGGGCCCTGTTTTTCCTGTTTGGAAATGAGATCACTATCCTTTGTAACTCAGATCTGCCACTTTCCTCTGCTTGGTTCATTGGTAGAAGCATCAGCATTTTTCTTGCTGGCTATGCCATGTGGGGCAGGAGGAAATGGGATCTAGCCTCAGAACGAGAGATTTCAGTTAGACACTGGGAAGGACTTCCTGTTTGCCAGCCAAGGCTGCATTAGAGCCTACCTTGGGCTCAGATGAAAGCCGGCAGGTGCTGCAATGGTCCTTGGAGCCCTCCACCTTACCTACGCCCTCCAGTACTCTGGCTCTTGTGAGCTAACCAGATCCTCACTTCTTCCACCCCAGCTGGCAGCCAAGGAGGCAAAGCTTCGGGACCTGGAGGATTCGCTGGCCCGTGAGCGGGATACCAGCCGGCGGCTGCTGGCGGATAAGGAGCGGGAGATGGCGGAAATGCGCGCGAGGATGCAGCAGCAGCTGGATGAGTACCAGGAGCTGCTGGACATCAAGCTGGCTCTGGACATGGAGATCCATGCCTACCGCAAGCTCCTGGAGGGCGAGGAGGAGAGGTGGGTGCCCTGGGAGGAGGCAGGGGATGCTAGCAGTGGCCTCCAGCCTTCGGCCGGTCTTGACCCAGCCTCCTCCCTGCCTCCCCTCTCCAGGCTCCGCCTGTCCCCCAGCCCCACCTCTCAGCGCAGCCGTGGCCGCACCTCTTCCCACTCATCCCAGACGCACAGCGCCGGGGGCAGCATCACCAAAAAGCGCAAGCTGGAGGCCACTGAGAGCCGCAGCAGCTTCTCGCAGCATGCTCGCACGAGCGGGCGCGTGGCCGTGGAGGAGGTGGATGAGGAGGGCAAGTTTGTGCGGCTGCGAAACAAGTCCAATGAGGTAGGCTGGCCAGATGGGATCTGAGGGAACACAGCTGAGCTCCAGTCCTGGCTCCTGGGCTTAGCAGCTGTGAACCTTGGGCAAGTTACTCAACCTCAGAGAGCATTAGTTTCTTGATCCATAGCATAGGGATGAGGCTCAGGTCCTAAGCTCCAGGTGTGGTAGTGCATGCTTTGTAATTCCAGCACTCAGGGAGGCTGAGGCAGGATTGTGAAATGTGAGCCCAGCCTTGGCAATTTAGTGACTTAATGAAACTCTGTCTCAAAAAAATGAAAAAGATCTGGGGCTATAGCTCAGTGTAAAGACACTGGATTCAATCCCCAGCACAGCCCAGACAAAGTAGGTTCTAAGTGAGTTACTGGGAAGAGGCAAAGAGGAAAGATAAACCCTTGGGGAGCAAGGTGCTGGCGGGTTGGGGAGTGGAGGGAGAGTGACGCCTCAACGTGTGGGCAGTGGTTGGCCTGCCTGGGTCTTGCTGTGTTGCCAGACTCCTGGCCTCCGGCTCAGCCTCTCCAGTAGGGAGGCCAGCAGATGTTGCCTGAGCGAGAGAATCTGGCTGAGTCCCTCCTTCCTTCCCTTCCTGGCAGGACCAGACCATGGGCAACTGGCAGATCAAGCGCCAGAACGGAGATGACCCCTTGCTGACCTATCGCTTCCCACCGAAGTTTACCCTGAAGGCTGGGCAGGTTGTGACGGTGAGTCTTGGGGTACTTAGGTGGGGATGGCTTGGCCTGAGGATGGTGGCACTATAGTGAGCACTTTCTCTAATCCTGTTTCCCAGATCTGGGCTTCAGGAGCTGGGGCCACCCATAGCCCGCCTACTGACCTGGTGTGGAAGGCCCAGAACACCTGGGGCTGTGGTAACAGCTTGCGCACGGCTCTCATCAACTCCACGGGTGAGGTGAGTACAATGCTCCCTCCTCCAACTCCCCAAAGCTCCTCCTAGTGGCCAGAATGGGAATCAGCTGTCCCTAGAGGCAGAGCCAAGCGCCAGGCCCCTTCCCAAGGGGATCAGCAGTGTCCCTGTGGGTACGGCAAGTTCCTCATTGCTGAACAGCACAGAGGACAGGGCAGGACCCAGGAAGGTTCCAGCGGGCCTTGTAAGTACGCAAGCTGCAACCTGCTCTCTCCTCCCTGTCCTCTCAGGAAGTGGCCATGCGCAAGCTGGTGCGCTCAGTGACTGTGGTGGACGACGACGAGGATGAGGATGGGGATGACCTGCTCCACCACCACCACGTGAGTGGCAGCCGCCGCTGAGGCCCAGCCTGCACAGGCAGCCCGGCCAGGCCCGGGACAGCCTCTCTCCCCGCCTCCCATGCCAAAGTCTTTTCATTAAAGAATGTTTTGGAACTTCACTCGCTGCCCTGGCCTTTCTTCTCTCTCCTCCCTCTACCTGGAACAGGGAACCCAGGTGTCTGGGTGCCCTTCTCTGGTAAGGAAGGGAGTGGAAATTTCCTGGTGCCATGGAGTATTCCCACGGGAGCAGGGGACAAGGGTCTGGATTTGTCTCCTGGGCAGGGGACGGAGGACAGAGGTGGGGCGCTCGAGCCCTGCCTCTCTCCCCCTTTGTTGTCCTCTTCTGGTCTTTCCGCTTGCACATCCTTTTATTGCCCTCATTGCTCCTGCAAGAATGCTTTCTCATTCCTGTCCCTTCCCAAATTAATTCTGCTGCATGTCTGCTGCCCTATCGGCTTGTTCTTTCCCTACCCACCCCTTTCCTCTTAAGCTCAGAGGATGTAAAACAGAATCCAAGTCACACCTCTCTGTCCCCACATCTTCATGATCCTTCACCCTTTCACACACATCTTTCCTCCCAGTCTCTGGCTTCCAAGCCCCTCTTGCCCTCTGGCTCCCAAGCACAGAACCCCAGCTCCCTGTGTGCTGGCTGGTGGCCTGCAGGTGCCCAAGCCTGTGTGTTCAGCACAGCCTGGGCATCTGAGCAGTCAGTCCCAGACTCGCCGTCCCGCCTGAGCCTTGTCTTCCTCCCCAGGGCTCCCACTGCAGCAGCTCGGGGGACCCAGCTGAGTACAACCTGCGCTCGCGCACCGTGCTGTGCGGGACTTGTGGGCAGCCAGCCGACAAGGCGTCTGCCAGCAGCTCAGCAGCCCAGCTGGGCGGATCCGTCTCCTCTGGCTCTTCTGCCTCCAGTGTCACAGTCACTCGAAGCTACCGAAGTGTGGGGGGCAGTGGGGGTGGCAGCTTCGGGGACAACCTGGTCACCCGCTCCTACCTCCTGGGCAACTCCCGCCCCCGAACCCAGGTGAGTCACTGCTCTGCCTCCATCCCTACAGACAGGAGCTCTGGTCTTTGAGGGTTAGGACAGATGGCCCTGGGGGGATAGAGCCTTCTCTTCCGCAACCCGGGGGAGTGGGAGCCTCCCCCCTGCAGCTTTGGTCCTAAACAGCCCAAGTCTGCTTCCTGCCCCTCCTGTCTGAGCCCCAGACCTGAGGGCGGGGCTAGAGGGCAAGGGATGGAGGCACCCCCACCTCCTTTCTGCAGGTCAGGGAGAGGACGGATCCAGCCACCTAGCTCACACAACTCCCCTCTCTTCTCTCTTAGAACCCCCAGAACTGCAGCATCATGTAATCTGGGACCTGCCAGGCAGGGGTGAGGGCAGAGGCCACCTGCTTCCTTTTCACCTCATGCCCACCCCCTGCACTGCACCTCATGGGAGCAGGCTTGAAGCCAAAGAGAAATACCTGCTTTGGTTTTTGTTTTGGTTTTTTTCTGTATTTTTTTTTTTTTTCTA